CGGTTCTTGTTCGGTTCTTCGGTTCTTGGTCTAGACCCGAGACCCGACCCAAACCCATCGGTTCTCGATTCGGGTACCCGTTCGGGTATTTAATTTATGAAGAACCGCTCGGTTCGGTTCGGTTCGGGTTCGGTTCGGTCCAGTTCAGTTCGGGACTTTTGGACACCCCTACTCAGAATATTTTTAACATGGATTTCTAAGGTTTCGTTTTCAACTGTCAGCTCATTAGCTCTCATAGATGTCTTCTCAAGCTCACTACTGAAATTCCCAACCTGATTGTCTAAAAATTCTTTCATGGATTTCAACTCACTCAGGGTTGAGGTAGATTCCTAAATGTACGCTACAAGTTTCTCGTTTTTCGACTCAATTTTTGTAACTCTCGTAGTTAAGGCTTTATTTTTTTGTCAGAATCTTAACGCCCTCCTCATAGATTCTATCATAAGCCTCATGAATATTGTCCTTGCTATCAGAATTGTCCTCGCTATGACAATCTTCTTCTGAATTCTCATCACCAATTACGTTCTCAACCTTCTCACTCCCCTTATCAGATTCATTCTTAATTCTCGTAGTAAAGGCAATATATTTTCTACTATCCTCACGAGTTGATTTCTCACTCCGATTGTCCAAGTTAGACTCGTCATCAGTGAGAGTAGCATTCATAACGTTATTTGAATTTCTCTAACTGCTAGGGCACTCACTCCTAACGTGGCCAAAACCTCTACAATTATGACACCCTACAGTTTTAGAACTCTCCATAAATCCACTAGGACCATTTCTATGCTTCTCTTGAGGTTTTTGTTTATTCTTAGACTTTTTTTAAAATTTTTTAGCAATGCAAGTTAACTCCTCTTCATTAAGAGAATCTGAATGGGTGGAGTTAGAATCTTCATCTCTAATGATGTTCAAGGCAATTGACTTCTCAATCTTAGGTTTACCAAATGTAAGTTCATAAGTCTAGAGATTTCTAACCAACTTTTCAATCTTAATGGAATTTAAGTCCTTACTCTCATCTATTGCCGTGACTTTAGGTCCAAACCTTTCTAGTAAGTATCTAAGAATTTTTCTAACTATCTTAGGCTCCAAGATTCTCTCACCTAGGTTGAAGCTAGAATTTACTATGTGATTTAAGCTCGCATAAAAATCATCAAAAGCTTCATCTTCCTTCATCTGAATTGCTTCAAACCTAGTCTAGCGAGCAACGTACTGTCGCTCGAGCGATAAGCCAGCGACAGGCGAGCGACGTACTGTCTCTCTAGCGAGAGCTCGGCAACAGGCAGACGAAAGGCTATCTGTTTTTGTCACTTGAGCACCAACAGGGCGAGAAGCTAGGAAAAATGTAGCTCCGTATTTCACCTCTTTTCATGCTCAAACCCTAGACCTCATAATCCAATTTGTATACATTGCACCTTATGTCCTTTACTTTTACAACACGTTACAAATTAGTCATTTTGTCCTCAGAATCGCCAACACTATAAACCTAACATAGTTAATTTAGAACAAGAGATATTTAATTATGTCCATACCAAAAGCTGGTTTGCCTTATTTATAGTGGACAACTGAAAAACACTTTGTGGAAAACCATTAAGTAACTCACTTTGAAATTTATCTCTACTCCTATTTTCTTTAAAAAAAAAAATTGAGAACAATAGCGCATGATAGAATCTTTTTCATCTTCAAGGGTATAATAATGCATGATTGAATCAGGAGTCCAACAATTAACGCATTTTTTTCATTATGATACAACACATGCAATGATATTGTTGGGTTTTGATACCCAATGAATCTCGGGCGATGATATAAATGTTCCATTAAATTATTACCAATAATCAAGTCCAAAGGTTCAGCCTGAAAACAACGTGGGCCTTTGGAAGTAACTTAAATAATTAATGATTCTCATGGTCCATATATATATTACGTCTTGGATGACTTTGAATCTTGGTCCATTTAACCTCTTTTATTAGTCCAACTAAAGCCTAACATAGCCTATATATATATATATTGTGTTTATGCAATAACCGTTTTTGTGTGTGATTTGTGAGAAAAGAAGAAATACACAGTATGCAAGATATGA